CTCGCTGCAAAAGAACATATGGGTCAAGCTAAAAATCCGTGAGACTTTTTCCACTCTGATACTTCATTCAGCTATAATTCATACTGTAATTCTTTAACGGCGCAGTCCACTTTCCCAATTGCTTTGACCGATATTGCATTGTGTGTTGGTCAGTCTACTGGTGGTCCTCCCAACAGTTGTTCCACCCCTTGAAGGAAATACCTGCCCAACAGTTTCCCAGCACATACAGTTGGTCAGACTCTTGCCGTCTTGCGCTGTCACTGAATGTGCTGAGCATCACTTTTCCTCTCCAACACTGCTTCTCAAAGACCACAGTGTAATACGGTACTCAAAGACCACAATGTAATACCGTAACCTGACAATTAATTCATCATATTGTGTGCTCGCATTTGACTTATGGCGAAAATTCGGACAAAATTTAAACCCAGTTTAGCTGATTGCTTATTTTGGCGAAGATTCATTAAATACGGTAGGACAATTGGGGCATTCGGCTTTGCAGTCCGAGCTGATCCTCTAATTGCAGAGGATGGACCAGTGTTACGAGACGTCGTCCTATTCCCAAATGGCATCTCGAGCAACATTTTTTTCGGACAGATCAGTCTGGAGGCATAGCACAACCTTGTCATTTTCAACACAAAAATAAAATAAATTCTCCTTAGCTAAAGCTCAGAGAAAAACGTTTTCCTCTATTTCGCCGAGCATCCCCCGATGGAAAGGCGTTCGCAAAATATAATTTAGGTTCTTTTACATTAAAAAAACATCATTCTCAAACAAAAAAAACTTTTTCGCTTTCATCGTTTCCCATTATCCTACTAAACGAAATAGACTAATCGTTCCACTTGCAACTTCACTTCGTGCATTAGCATGTTGATTAGCAACAAAAGAATCGTTCCAACAATCTACTGAAAAACAACGCTCATGGCAATTGATAAGCGAAAAGCAAGCAGTGCATGATAACTCTACTAGCTTCTAGTGACCGGAGTTTAGCAGCATTGGCGAGTTCACTCCACAACCGTTTGATCGATGTTATTGATGAAGCATGTTTTTGAGTTCTCAGTGCTTTTAGGAATGGGATATACTGTGTCGAAATTTTCAAACCAAAGACGGCGGACTGCTACTTAATTCGTTCATTGCACTTCATCAGGTAATCAATTGCTTATTGGTTTTGATAAAGTCAATTCAGTGTTCATACGTCAGTTGATCTAATTAAAAAAGCGCTGGTCGAAATTGTCGGAAAAGTTGTTAATTCATAGCTTGGTTCTGAAACTATTGACAGCTTTTTTAACTGCTCTGATGCAGTCAATACCTGCTGGTTAGTCCGCTGGCGATCCTGGTGCTCATTTTGTCTCCTGACGAAACTGCTAGTTTAGCGATTCTCCCGAAAGGAACACTTGCAAGACTTTAGCCATTTTCAAACGTCCTTGTTGAGTACTGTGTAACGCGCTCTCGTCACTTGACAATGAGATGCCTTACTGTCATGTAATCATAATTTTGAAAAGGAAGCCGCACATGTACGCAGTGAAACGGCCGAGTAGGAAAAACACTGCTGGATGAGAAAGCTTACGTAGCATGGGTACTGTGACCCAGTAACACCGGGAGCCTCACAACGAAAATCCTTGTAAACTTCGGTAATTTTATAGCAATTTGTCAAAATAAGGCCATATATTTGAGAAGAATTGTCTGCTTAGCAGGATTTCAAGTAAACTGTCGTGATCATCATGATATCCTGGAGTTTAACCAACCCTTTGTCGAGAACTCTTGGGCAGCTCAGAATTTCGCTAATCTTATTGTTACAGAATTCCTAAAGATTGTTGAAATTTTTGAAAATTATGACAAACAACCCCGGTTTTTTGAAGGTTGAAGCAGATCATGATCGATCAATGGAAGATACCTGGATATCGTTACTTTCGATCGGTTACAATGATCGGCTCGACCTTGTTCACGTGAGCATCCATAATCTGTTAACTTTAATAATCCGTACGGATGCTATTTTCCAGTCAGTGAGGTCTCATCGATGTCGAGAAAGGGAACTTTTGGGACAAGATCTCGAAAGTTATGCTACTTGTAGTCAACGATGGGGTATCTTACCAAAAACGACTAGGGGACGGTCGCTACTCCGCTAACGAAATCTTATTTCCAAATGAGTGTGGACTGGAAAGGAATCGAATTCTCAATCGCTACGTGTAGTTGCTACGTGCAAGCCATTGCGCTACAGCCCCTTATGCTAACTAAACGCATATTTTAAAGACGGTTCAAAGGCAAATCAAGAGTAGATCAAGAATCGATCGATGA